CTTCCTCTCACTCTCACTCTCGCTTTTGATTTCTCTCTCATTTTTTGAAACACTCCTCAAAGTCAGAGCCATTTTCTTAAACAGACAAAAACTTTGTAAAACTTTGGGGTATCAAGAGCCATGTTCTTCCATGTGGCCTATAGATCAAAGAATGCGGGTCTGAAGAGAGAGGAGATTGAGGACGATATGCAGAGACAAAGCTCTCCCGAGTCAGAGACAGAGAATCTGTCCTAAATATCATTCTCCATTCCCTCCTGTGGCCCTGCTGCAAGAGCAAGTGCCAATTGGACTGAGTTCGTGGACCGCCACCACCTCTTCTTCTGACTTTCACTCTAGTTTTACTGTTATAAGTGTTGTGGACATTGGAGCTAAGTATATATTTGTACTCTACAAAGAATACCCAGCTGTCACGGAAGAGACAACACGTTTAGAATCCAAAATGGCCTGGATGCACTGAAGGGATTACATGAAATGAAATTCAAATAAGATAGATACAAAAAATTACACGTAGGGAAGGAGAAATAAATTCTATAAAAACTAAATAGAAAAGTGCTGCTGAGAAAATTAGAGTAAAAGATCAAATAACCCGGGGATAACAGAAGACCACGTGGTGAACTCAGCTTGGAAGAGACAGGACTACAAAGCAGGAAGCTGATGCAGTGGAGGATGCGTGCAGCTGCGGGTGGGGCAGTGAGGGAGAAGTGTCCCCTCTCTGCCCACCACCGAGACTTCCACCAGAGCTCTGGCATAGTTTCCATGACTACTTGGATTTAGAGGCTGACTGTCATTATCAGGAAGGACTGTGTTGCAGAGATGGTTTGAGGCATCTGTCTGATTTATGTAGAGGGGAGGGAACTGCTAGACTTGCCCATTTCATAAAAGAGAAAGAATGCTTTGGGGAGGCTTCTTACCACACATAACAATACAGGGTTGTCTAGAAAGAGAAATGGTGTTTTTGCTGCCTTATATTTGCAATCTTTTATATACTTCCATTGTGCTTTATGTTTTTATAAATAACTTTAACATATATAGTATTAAGTCAATTAGAGCAAACAACCCCACTTCTGTGGCACTGTATGGTAAAAGTATATTTCTTGTTCATTGATGGCAATGCAGGGTGGCAGGCAGAGGTGGGGGGCTGTGGGGAGGCCTCAAAACCAGTCATTCAGGGACTCAGGTTCCTCCTCGTGGCTGCTCTCTCCTCAGTCCTCCACCCAAGTCTCTCCATCCCGTCTGCCAGTGAATGGAGAAATAGAACTGGGACTCATATGTGGAAAGATTTATTTTCCATGTCTGCAAGTAATGAATGTCATTTCCACATATGCATCTATCTCATAGGCCAGAACTCAGGAATATGGCCATGTCTAGCTTCAAGAGAGGTTGAAATTGTAGTCCAGCTGCCTTGTTTGCCTGAGAAGAAAGAGAACAATTTTGTGGGCAACTAGACAGTATCTGCCATCTATGCTGTGCAGTTTCACCCAAACAGTGATACTCTCAATATTAAAAGTGCATATATTATTTTGATAATACAATATATTTGTATATAAGTATGTATATATAATATGGCCAATCTATCCATCTATCTGTCTGTCTATTGCCACCACCTTCTTCCCTGCAGCATACACTCTTCAGTTGTGATAACTCTTCCTTGTATTGAGTCCAGATGTCATGACATTATAATCTTCTTAACTCAACACCTTGGGCAACTACTACCAATCAACAGGAATCCGAATTTGAGATAAAATCTATTTGTGTATCCAACCCTGGACCATCTCTCAATATCAATGAATTTAAATATAGCAAGGCAAGAAGGAAGCCCTGCTCTTATTCATTGAACAATTAGACAAATGCTTGGACTAGAAAACTCTGAGCACCACCCCATTCCTTTTCATTTTGGTAAACCATACCTAATATTCTGACTTTTGACACGCCTCTGGCCACCATTTTTCTAAGTGATGGAGAGTTTCTATTAATTTGAATTACTTAAAGACCTTTATTAAAGCTGAGGCAGCTTAGAATCCCCTGAAGAGACAGTGCAGGTCTCAGATGTTCATATGTATCCTCTGTCTGGCTCAGGATCTGACACCAGAGCCTAATGAAATACAGAAGATAGACTTCCCAGGATGCCAGACAGCATTCAAGCATCGGGTGCTAGGATTTCTACAAGTATACTATGTATAATTCATGCTATTTTTATTGGTGCATTTTTAGAACCACTTTATTGAGATATAATCGACATCCAGAAAGCTTCACACCTTTAATATATACAAATTGATGAGCTTGGAGATGAGTATACACCAATGAAACCATTACCATGATCAGTGCCACAAACACATTGGCAATGGTTTCCTGTATATGACAATAAAGCAAAGGCAAAAGCAGCAAAAATAGCTAAGTCAAATCATATCAAACCAAAAATCTTCTGTGCAGCAAAGAAACCAATCAATAAAACAAGAAGGCTATCTTTGGAATGGAAGAAAATACTAGCAAACCATATATCTGATAAAGGGTTAACATTCAAAATACATAAGGAACTCCTATTACTCAAAAGCAAAACAAGCAAAAACCCTAACAACCTGATTTTAAAATGAACAATGAAACTGAATAGATATTTCTCCAAAGAAGACATATAAATGGAAAACTGGTATATGAAAAGGTGCTCAGCATCATTAATCATGGAAATACAAATCAAAACCACCATGAGATATCACCTACCACCTGTTAGGGTGGCTACTATGAAGAAATCAGAAGGGAGCAAGTTTTGGGGAGAATGTGAAGAAAGGGCAACACTATAACACTACAAGTGGGAATGTAAATTCATTCGGCCATTATAAAAATCAGTGTAGATGCTCCTCAAAAAAGCAAAAATAGAATGACCATATGATTCAGCAATCACACTTCTCGGTAAATATTCAAAGGAAGTAAAATCCAGCTCTCGAAGAGATATTTGTGCTCCCATGTTCATTGCAGCATTACTTATAATAGCTAAGACATAAAGACAACTTAAATGTCCACCATAGATGAATGCATCAAGAAAATGTGATATCGTGTGTGTGTGTCTGTATATACATAATAATACCATATATATGTATGTGTATGTGTGCGTGTGTGTGTGTGTATACAATACCGGTATAATTCTATATATATACACACAGACACCCACAGTAGATATACCCGTATATTTATATATACTATATATATAATACCAGCATATTATATATATATATATATATACACACACACACAGAGTAGATATACCTGTGTGTGTATGCGTGTGTATATATATAATATACACATAATTATATATATATATATAATATACACATAATTATATATATATATAATTTATTATACCAGTATATATACCAGTATCTATGGTGTGTGTATATACAGCTAGTGCTCGACTTACGACCACGGTCAGGACCGTGTACTGGTTGTAACATGATTTGGTCGTAAGTTGAGTAGGCTATATGTACAGTTGAAATGGTGCATGCAGAGATGGTAGTGCTGCCAAAGCTGGTCCGCACTGTCGTACACCCAGCTGGGCAACGTTTGTGTTGCCAGACGTGGAGCAGTCGTGGCTAGCGATTGTGGTCGTAAAGCCGAATGGTCGTAAGCTGCATAGGTGGTAAGTCGATCAATACCTGTATATAATCATACTACATATTGTGTGTGTGTGTGTCTATGTGTATATATATATATATATATATATATATATATATATCTTCAAAAAGAAGGAACTCCTGCCATTTACAACAGCATGGATAAACCTGGAGAATATCATGATAACTGAAATAAGATAAGCCAGATATAGAAAGACAAATACTCCATGATACCTCCTATATGATAAATCTAAAACGGTCAAACTCCTAGAAGCAGAGAGTAGGAATGCCAAACGGCCGGGGTTGGGGAGAAGGGGAAACAGGGGAGTCTTGATCAAAGGGTAGGAAGTGTCAATGATGAAACTCGGTGTATTTTTAATAACATCTCTCTGCTTTATAAGCCTAAATTATCACCAAGTTTGGAGCAGAGGGAGCACTTGGAGAACTGCCCTGAACAGGATGTAACTCTAATTGAGTGTTAGGATAATCTTCACTTCTCCTCCCCACTGCGGCCAATAAATAACAAAGCTTTACTGTACATCTTCTTGTACATCTATATTCAGAGATAGATAGCAAAGGTAGACAATTGCTAAGGAGGATTCCAATAATAGAGCCACAGGTAATCATAAATAAAGAACGTCTTCTAAAGCTCCATCCAGATCAACCAAGCTGGGTGGGGTGTATGGGTGGTGTAGGCACACTCAGGTTTCTACCAATTACTACCTTTCCAAGAATATAAGAACTCAATATTTTGGTAATTATTTTGTTTCATTAAATATTTGCTCATTTATTAGCTGGTTATATGTTGATAATAACTGATCACCTCGTTTGAGCTCAGCACAGTCTCAGTCATATGCAGTGGGAACGTGACAACCATATTTGCTAAAAGGGTTACCACAGGGACAAAGTTTTCCCTTTAGATATTTACCATAAAAAAGTTCAAGTCTTCTGTCACTTTTTATAATCCAATGCACAAAAAGCCCAGGGGTAGTCAGAGCACAGCAAGGGGTTTGCCTTCCTCTCCTCAGCTGTTTCTGCAAATTCAAAGCAACACGGTTTCTTTCTTTTATTTTTTTAATTATACTTTAAGTTCTGGGTACATGTGCAGAACGTGCAGGTTTGTTACATAGGTATACACATGCCACGGTGGTTTGCTGCACCCATCAACCCATCATCTACATTAGGTATTTCCCCTAATGCTATTCTTCCCCTAGCCCCCAACCCCTCGACAGGCCCCGGTGTGTGATTTTCCCCTCCATGTGCTCAAATGTTCTCATTGTTCAACTCCCACTTGTGAAGGAGAACATGCGTTGTTTGGTTTTCTGTTCCTGTGTTACTTTGCTGAGGATGATGGTTTCCAGCTTCATCCATGTCCCTTCTTGATGCTGATTTTTACCACCAACTCCAAACTATTCAATCTCCACTGTCAATAATGCATGCCAAGAACTGACAAAAAGTAAAGAATCAGTACACTCCAGCTCCAACTACCTCTATTACACACACTCCAGCAGATCTAACACATGCTCTCTTCCTATACCCAAGGCGCCACTCTTTGGCATCCTAGAGAGAAGCCTTGAAGACATCATATTTCTTTCAACATCAAGAACCATAGCCTAAAGATAATGCACAAAAATGTAAAGTACTCAAGAAAAAAGGGCTGATTCTTTAACTCCATCAATACAGCCACAAGAAGCAAAACCAGTTAACCCACATAAGGTTACTGCAACTCAAAGTCATTCTTACTCGAAGCCTTCTTTTTCCTTGATTTTTCTGGCCTGTACTGTCTTCTTCTTTCATTGCTACTACTGTACTAAATCCCATACCACATAATATTGGTATTTAACTCTTCTGTTTGAGTACATTTTCTCTTCATAATATGGCGATGTGTGAGGGTGAAATATTATTTTATCAGAGGCATTTACTTTTCTTCATAAGGAATGGCTTTACTTAACACACTGATTTTTGTATTATGAGTTTGTATTAAATGAATGTGTAGGAATGGCTCCTGTTGGATAAGATGTGCCGTGGTTGCAGCTCTCAGAAAAAACAAAATTGTTAAAGTTAAAATTAAAGTGTAGGCTAAGGTTACACCCAGAGGAATTATCTGTATTGACAAATGGAAGTCCTCTGTTCAGACAGGGACCCAGAGTGTGAAGAGGTTGATTGGCTGGCCCGGTGCAGGTAAGTGGAGAGGAGTACATCCTCCCTCCCACTACCTCTCAGTATCCCACGCCGTGGTAAAACTCAAATGACTGGCTAAAAACTTTAAGCAAAGTAATCCAACATAGGCTTGTGCCACGGCCAATATCCACCACATAATTCTCTGAGGAAACCAAGTTCAGAACTACCCAGAAATAATTTTGCACCCTCAAAGAATTTCTTATCTTATTCTACCAAACAGTTGATTGCTTCCTTCTTCCTCCTATTCCTTTCACCTCTTCTTCAGGTTGAGAGATGGGGATGGAAAAAGGGGTTAAACAACAACAAAAAACTAAGCACAAACTTTTGAAGAACAACAAAAAACCTAAGCACAATAATTTGGGAAACAAATTCTTGCCTCTCTTTACTTTCTTCTATCAGCCTAGCGGAAAACTAATTGTTACATCACATGCAAAGACCTAAGTTGCTGACATAATTTTTCTGAAATCAATACATTAATGAGACTACATATATTTTGAAGACTAGTACTAATTTAGTATACCACTTGTTGGGTTCTATGGTACATTTCCAGAAAAAAAATTAAAAATGTCTTTTTCTAAATGACATAAAGTAATCCTATGGTGAGTCTTCTTTGTTTAACAAGTGAGAATCACAACCAATTCATTTGTTGCTTAAATCAGGAGTTAATGTGTCTTTTCTTTTCTTTTCTGTTCATTTTGAGATGGTTTCACTCTTGTCACCCAGGCTGTAGTGTAATGGTGTAATCTTGGCTCACTGCAACCTCCGCCTCCCAAGTTCAAGCAATTCTCCTGCCTCAGCCTCCCATGTAGCTGGAGTTATAGGCATGTTCCACCATGCTCGGCTAATTTTTGTAGTTTTAATAGAGATGAAGTTTCACCATGTTTGCCAGGCTGGTCTCGAACTCCTGACCTCAGGTGATCCACCTGCCTTGGCCTCCCAAAGTGCTCAGATCACAGGCATGAGCCACGGCGCCCAGCTTAATGTAGTCTTTTTAAAGCTATATACCACTTACTGTGTCATTTAGCATACATGGCTATGGATTGCAAATTTCTGGACTAGTTATAGCCAAAGCAATTGCAGCATATGGAGTAACACTATGAGAAGAAAGACTAAAAGGTCTATATGAGTGTGGGTATGAATGCCTCTGCTTGTGCATATGTGAAAGAGGGAAATCAAGAACAAGACAGAAATAGAGCAAGAGGGAGACAGAGGGAGAGAGGTTGTGTGTGTAAGCAAAGACTTTTTAAGAAAATCAAAAACAGCAGTTCTTGGGAAAACTTTTACTATGCAAAGGATCTATATCACATATATATGTGGGTATATATGTAGTCCTTTCTTCATTAAAAAGGTGAAATTAAATGAGTGACATGGCCCCATAGAGACACACAAGACCCAAATCATAACATCAATGTATAACCAAGTGTGTTGGCAAGATGGAGATGAATTCAGCTAATGAAGAGAGCACCTAGGCAAACGTGAAAGGCAGAACATTCCCAAGGAAAGGCATGATATTAAAACCTAAGCAGCTCTATCCTTCATTATCTTGTGTATGGGATTTGGTCACCCATGCATGGAAGTTCAGATGTTATTTCATTTGTGTAACCGAATGAATGGGTGGGCAGAGTTAATAGGATTTGCTCATTAAATACTTAAATCAGCATGTCATCAGTTATTATATTTGATGTAAACCTTTCTTTGGTGTTTCAGGGTGATTCCTCTTCTGTATAAAAAGATGTCAATAATCCTTTCCCAGATCTCTTCAAAAGCAGGGAACGCATTTTATAGTTCTCAATAACTGTTGCAATCTTCAAAATGGTGTGAAAATTCCTTGAATCGAGTAAGCCTGATGGGTTGATTAAAGCAGGATATACCTCTACTTGCCAAAACAAATATTCTCTAGAAGGAACTGATAGAAAATAACATTTAAAGAGACATATTTACTTTCTTTATAGTTCAAGTTTATCGCAACATGAACGTAAATATCAATAAGAAAAGGTCACCTGAAAAGTTAGAAACTATCATTAAAATCACAGAATATTTATACAGCAATGTGGGCAGATCCTTTCCCAGTGCAGACCAGAGAATAATACAATACAATAATAATAACTACAATTTAGAGTCCCACTAACTAGGAATCAGGCACTTTGCCAAACACTGTATGTATGTATCTATTTAATGAACCCTTAAAACGATCTATGAGGTGGGAGCTTATTATCATTCCTATTTTTCAAGTAAGACACAGAACTAGAGCTTCAGTGGCCTGCCCAAATTCTCACATGCAGTTAGTGAGAAGCAAAGCCAATGGTCTCAAACATTACATGTCACAAACCTATGTTGCTTTCTTCTCCTTCTCACTGGAACATGAGAAAGTATACAGAGTAAGAAAGAGTGATTGCTACCCTATGCTAAATTTCATGCAGAATAATTTGAAAATGGCGTAAAAAAAAAAAAACCCAACATGACAATAATGCCAACATCACAGGGTTCTACCTTTCAAAGCAGTTCATATATTCATAACGTCATGTTCATACATATTTAGCCAAGTCAGAAAGGTGCCTCATTTAACTGTGAATGTGCAACTTATGCAAAAAACCCACATCCTGCAAGAGTTGGGGGAGATGTAATGAGTGGGAAAAAATGTAATAGCTAGAATACAAAAATTCCATTTTCCATAGACCTCACATATTTCTTGTGTACATTTCTCTAGCAGCTGTTGTTTAGAAAGTGCTAGTGGTCACACAGATAAAATGTGGCAGTTGTAGCATATCAACATAAATATTTTTACCTGAATAATTCCTGCTGTTCTTTTGAAACTAAAATTAATTCACATATTGTTTTCCCTAGAGTTCCCCAAAACCTTGATACCTTTTTTGTTTTAACGAATATAACAACTGTGTGTACTGGGGCTGAACCAAGTATCATTTCTGAACAGCAATTTTATTTTTTCAGTGCGTGGTATACTAAGAGGAAGGACAATGGTACTGAATATAGAATTGATGCACATTCAAATGGAATCAGTTTATCAAAACCTATCCTTTCAGGATGGACTGAATTGTGATATTCACAATCAATTGCTAATAGTACCAAATCATTAACTGCTGGCTTTGAGATTCTTACAGAGAATAATTTCATATAACCCAGAAAAGCACGACCGTGCTGATTAAATTAGCCTGATTCTCTCCCCTGAGAGAGGATGTTTACAGAGGCATTGGTATACCAAGAGCAGTGAGAAGCAAGGACTCTGTGAGTAGGGTGTTCTGGGTTCAAATCCCAGCTTAGTCCCTTCCTGGCAATGCAGTCTGAACTAACCACTAAACCACGAAGTTTAACAATCTCATAGGTCGGGTCACTGCACCACCTAAAGCAACCATGCATGTTACAGATTAAATCAATGGTGCCCTTCGGCATTCTGCAGTACACAACCTAAACATGCAGGCCCCTGCTCAAGGGTTGTGGGGATTCAAGTGATAACATCTGTAAAACACTTGGCCCAACCCTAGTACTTAGTAGGTCTGCAGAGAATGTTAGCTCTTAATTATTTTTATCTTAATGTATACCATGTGTGACCTCTATCTTCACATTTCAATTCTTAAAGAACTTTTAAGGAAGTACTTTATTCCATGGTCCATCTGGTCTCTCTATCAAGGGAGCAGCGAGATTTTGTAAATTTTCTGAGTCAAGTACTCTTTAAGCCTGTTTTACCTTTTCAGTGAAACTAAGTGTCTTTGCAGATTTCATTCTCTTTCTATGAGATACCATGTCTCTGAAGAGGTCTGAAGAACTCAAGATGTCCTCAACAGTGCTATGTAAAAATTTTCCCTAAACCCCAATATACTATTGCATTTACAGAAGTGAATTCAGAGCCAGACTGATTGGGTCAAAGCCCAGCTCTCTCCATTTCTAGCTATGTGATTTTTCCAAGTCAGTTAATCTTTAAAGCCTCAGGTTTCTCGTTTGCATATTGGGGAAACTGACACTTTCTACTACATGGGATTGTTGGGGCATGCGGGGAACATACAGCGTTGTAAACTGTTCAGCAAAAGCCTGGCCGATAGTTGATACTAAATATATCATTGCTGCATTATTACTAGCTGCCAGTCTACGTCTCTCAACCGCTGGAGGAGGGATGTTCGATTCAGAAGCCACTTAAGCTGCAAGTCAGGCCATAGGAATGTTGCCCCATAAACTCAGCAGGGTTCAGAATTCTTAGAAAGATAAGCAGCAGGGCAGGGCATTGTTCTAGTTCTATCTGGCTACAGCGGAGACATGCTCAGCATACTTATTCTGAGGACCTTAGCTGCTTCGTCTGAAAGTAAGGTGATACATCTGCAAAGTAAGACTTGGGGATGTGCAAAGAGGTCTTTTCAAGTACACAATTGTCTGATTTAAAAATAAGGTAAAATAAGCAGAGATTCTGTTTGGGTGTTCCTTTTACGTTTTTACTTACCCCTTTCGTTTTAGATACTAAAACTAAAACCTGTGGCCTTCCCTGCTTGATATTCATAGCACGCTTTGCTGATGGATCAAATTATTCTTTTTATTGGGCTTGGATGAGGCTTCAGAATACTACTTAACACAGCATTCTAGTGTGTTGAGCCACTATTAATCCTTCCAAATTTTAATTTTAAGGACAGGACATCCTCTTTATCTCTGTTTTGTGAAGCATCTTACATATTTAGGCCTGCCTTCTGTGACAGTCACATATATTTCTTTTCACTAATCAAAGCCAAAAGATGTGACTGTCTTAAGTTCCATTTTCTCTGACGTTTATAAGTAGCTGACTATAGAATTCATTCTCAGTTTCAAGGGGTTTACACTTTAAAAGGAACTGCATTAATTCTTTTGAAAGTACTTATGGAAGCCATTCTCTGTTCTTCCCACTATGCATGTTCAAGCAATGGAAGGGACAACCAAATTAACAGGCAACTGCAGTGCCATATGTCTGTACAATGGCCATCCAGGAGGCCAGGGCCCGGGTAGGTGAGCTGGGGAGACGTCCAGTTCATCTTGAGGATTAAGGGGCTGTTTTTAGGAGATCATTATGGATTACAATGTTCTAGCACAGGGAACAGTGTGGAGCCTGATGGAGAGAGAGACACCATGGTCTGGTCAGGGAATGTTGAGTCACTCTGAATAGCAAAGCATGGTCTATAATGGGCTGGGCTTGTGGGAAAATGAAGACACATTTGAAAATAAATGTGAGAAAAATAAGAAGGTGATCTGAAGTCATCATCTTATAGAAAAAGATGCAATGCTTTGACTGGAAAGGTAGTTACGGAGGTAAAAACAACCAGGGAGGTAGTGGTAAAGGAAATACTAAGGAAAAGAGCTCAAATTACTACACACAGAGGCTGCCCATGAGGGGTAATCAGATCTGAATGCACGATCAGTGCATACAACGAGGAAAGGGGAGAGTAAATTTCTCTCTGTGGCATTTGGAAATAGATTTATTTTCTTGTCAACATAAAGGCAAATACCAGAGCACTTGTTTGAACTCTAGTAAAACAGAAATTTAATCACTTAGAGGGACACTTTGTCAGGCCATTATATTTCGAGTTTCTGAGGACTTATTTTTCTTTGTTACATAACCTAAACATAACAGCTAGGGATGGTGACAGGATAGTAGGTCCACAGGACTATGAAATACAAATTTGACTGAAAATTGGTAACTCTTGGCTGGGCGCAGTGGCTCACCTGTAATCCTAGCACTTTGGGAGGCCAAGGTGGGTGGATC